AAATTTATATTGCATATTATGGTAAGTTCTCTTCTTCTTCTTCGTAAGAATAAATTAAACTAAAAGATAATCTATTGTTTTCATTCATGGGCAGTATCTCATTTAGGTATAATACCTAATGATGGGTTTCATTATTTTACGGCAATGAATTATATAATAAAAATAGACTATTGATTGATAGATTTGGACATTAATTGTTGTTGGAAATCCATTAACGACAACAACAAAAATTTCACAAAAAGTTACATGCCATTATATTTTAATTTGACATGCCTGTTAGTTACCTCCCTAGTCCCTTTTTTATAAACTCTACGGTTTATCATTCTATTCATTATGAATCAATTAAAAGATTAAGTAAATAATTTGAATAAAACATAGCAACACGCTTCCGTCAAATTAACTAAAATCAATTAAATAAAGCTTAATTGAAATTGCGCTGACGAAGTCGACTTTTGGACTTCACCGATATCTAAAGTAATTTCCAAAGCAGCTTTATTGAGATTAGTAAGTTCACGTTTCAAGTCAGTAAAAATACCGTTTAAAATAAATTACATCACCTTGTATACAGATCCAATAAATGATAAGGAGCCGAGGTAAAAATTACTGTAATATCGCAAACAATTTAAATAATCACCTGTTAAAAACGGAATGTCAGACCAGAATAGCTAATGTAAATATCTTGTTCTAGCAGCTTTTCTCCTATTTAAAACAAGTTCGGATTCTTTATTCAATTACAAGAGGCATGTAGATTTACAGGACTACTAGAAAACAAACAAAAAATTTTGCTTCGAAATTTCTTCTTCTTCTTCTTCTTCTTCTTCTTCTTCTTCTTCTTATTCCTATTGATCTATCGCTGATGATGTGATGCCATAATATGACCTCTATCATTTCATATATTTTGACTGGCTGGCTGTACAATTTTTTGATAATTGGTATCGTCTTCGTGGACTATTACTTGTCACTTTTCAGTGCATCATTGTGAAATTGTGAATAAATCATCTTGAATGGCAGCAGGCCCTTTCAATAGAATTTTGATTAATGAACTGAGATGATGAAACTGGACAGGTAGTGTCAAAGACAGCTTAGATCTGTTGTACAGGCTGTCATCATCGAGATCTCCATGGTGTGGCAGGTATTGTCATCTGATGTTGACAGTTTCATGTTATGTAGCTTTTTGTGCTCATATCATAAAAACTGAAGGCTGTAAATGTCAGGATTTACCTCTAATATTTTAAACCTCTCAGGTGCTAGTTTTTGTATTCCGAAAATTTTACCAAAAATCTGCTATTTTTGTTAGCAAAGTGGGATTAACATTATTCAGACGGTAAAAGCTGGTTGTATGTATCAACCCCAATCAGGGCCGTATCTAGACCAAAATTATGGGGGGGTTAGACAAAGTGGCAAAAAAAAATTGTTACACTAATAATAAAAATAAAAAAAAAGTATTTAATAAGTGTTGTTTGTTTTTGAGTTAATTTTTTTTGAATTTTATTATTTTTTGGGGGGTTTGAACCCCCAACCCCCCCCCCCTAGATACGGCCCTGACCCCAATAATTTGTTTTGCAGCATTAGATTATTTCTTGCCAAATTATTCGATACTTCCCAGGATTAGTTTGGTAGGTATTAGTTGATCCACGTTATCACGGCACTTCTTTACTGTGCGATTATGAGCATTCTGGTCGATTGGAAGACTTCTATGCCACCAGACATCCAATTATACAATACCTAGGGAGCTAATTTAATAAAATAACAAAATAAATAGGTAGGTACTAAGCGCCAGCCTAAAAAAAATGATTGATATTACGCCCGCAGGTTTACGATTGAAACAAATAGAATATTTGTCTCGAAATAAATTACGAGTTTACGAGCTGAAAGTTCAATTTGTCATAAACCCACATTATTTGCCGACCGCAAGTCACTGGAACTGAAGAACGAAAATTAAAAAATATCTTCCGTTATTATTATGCAAACTATGTTCGAAACTATCTGGACGATTTCCTTTGACATGTGGACTACATATTTAATATGTAGATTTTTTAATTTTTAACGCCTCTGTACAATGGGAGTGCCGGCCATAACATAAGCAGTATATTACACTGCTCATATATTGACTAAAAATTGGTATTAAATACAAAGATAACAATCAAAAAATATTTATATGGTTTTTTACAATAGTTTTCACTTGAAAATGATGAAATTTTAAATTTAAACTCATTCAAGCTTTTCCATTTTAATTTACTAATTATGGTTGGTTGTTTCATTTCTTGATTAAATAAAACATTCCTTATAATATATTGGCTAACTAACATAGATGTAAAATTAAATTTTGAACATATTATCACTTTTTGTTTCCAATAGAAAAGTTCAAAACGGAAATTAAGCCAGAAATACTAATGATAGTTGGTTGGATCTAATGAACTTCTTTAGAATGAAATTAGCATTTGAAAATTTCCAGTAATATGGTTGGCAATTAGTACAACATCCAGTTTCTGGCTGAACATTTAGAGCAGACTGGTTTCCTGTTTTGTTATTCGCTGTTTTCCAAGCCAAAATCGAGTCGCTCTATTTCACTTCTATTCAGTAGCTACATTCGGTTCAATATCTTATTTGGAACATAATATGCTAATTAAGTAGATAATTTATCATGGATTAAAATTACGTTAATTAAGCCCCATTTTAAATTTATAAAAATGCAGAAAAATTGCACATACCTATTGTATAATAACGATAATACCTATATCAACTACTTAATTTGAAATTCTTTTCCTAACATAGTAACTAAATTGTATTGTAAATGCAAATGGAAGTGATTTATCATAACACATCATACATTTTAAATCGACTACGTTAAAAGCCCAGACCATCTCAGACAGAAACAAGCAGCGCTTTTGATAAACTAATATAAACATAATGACCCCACGAATCCGAAATCTGTCATCGAATACCTATATTAAAATAACTTTACATGGAACTTTACTTAATTTGAATATATTTTGTGTACAAAATGATTTACTATTATGAAGCGATTTATTTTTGGAATATTAGGATCTCCAAGTCATTATACACAATATCTCCAAACAATAACTTAATTAAATGTATTGTTTGTGGTTTAAGCACCAATGTTGGCAAGGAAAAATTGCAAAATTGTAAATCAGAGTGACGGGTGCGACATAATGAAATGACGCATTTGGAAATCTGTAATAACCCACCAAACAATTTATTAGGCATAGTTCAGTTGGTTATAATATTATATTAGAAGCTCGCATTGTTGGTGAAGTTATGCAATAATTGTCTTCCGACGCGACTACTTGCCCTCTCAAAGCCTTGTTTTCCGGTATTATATTTCGTTTTCTGCATCGCAATGGCAAATCTCCAGCCTGGAAGTTAAACATTGGGAATGCGAGAGCTGATGGCAGTACCTATTTAGAAGCGAGAAGAATTATCTTCATCGGACCGGCTCGACTACCTGTGGTTGCCAGAAAGTATTGGACATCTGGAATTTCTTCTAGCTTTAGGTTAAATGTTATATTGCCAAGGTTTCTTTTCGCTTTTTTTACCGGCTAGAGTATTTTGATTTTTCGAAATTCGAAAAAAGTTAACTGGAATTTTTTCTACGCATGCATAGGACGCATTGGACGCAAAATTGCCAGGGGACCTTTCCGTTTCCTTTTCGCCTTGTTCACCGGGTAGGATATTTTGTTTTATCGAAAATCGAAAAAAGTTAATTTACAATTTTGGGGAATCCTCAGTGAACATGTTCTTCTTTTATTTTTTCTAGCTTGAGGAAGCGTTGGACGTAAAATTGCCAAGAGACCTTCTCGTTTTCTTTTCGCCTTCTTTACCGGATAGGGTATTTTGTTTTTTCGAAATTAGAAATATATGACTTATTCATAAATTTATCTCCAATATCAGAACTCCTGTATGTAGATAAAACTGTAGTGGAGGATGATAATTATCTTCCTTAACTAACTGGCTGTCGCATCTACATGAAATATCAATATCAGTGGAAACCAAATCCAAGACTCTGCTCATACAATCTTCAAGCAAGTTATGCTGGCATAAATTAAGTATACAAGTTTAAAAATTCTGCCAACAATAAACTTTTTTCAATGCTACAATTTTCATATTTTGGCATATTGAAATCACCCATTATTAGAAAATTACTATTTTTACTACTATCAAGCCTCTCAAAAAGGTTTTAAAAGTTTGCTACCTTACCTGTATCACAATTTGGTGGTAAATAAACCACAGACAAATATGAAAAGTTATTCTTATTTTCAATTTTCACTAACACACATTCAAAATCCATGATGATACTGATAATTTCATGCCTGATATTTTTCTTCAGACATTCCAAATTCTTCAGTCTTTGTTCTGAGACCTCTCTCATTTTGGTAATATACAGGGTGTCCCAAAAATATACCGACAAACTTTAAGGGGTAGTAGGGGACATCAAATCAAGCATTTTTGTTTATATAAACATATGTCCGCAAATGAGCCATTTGGGCTGTAGAGCAAAAAAAACTGTTTGGTATCTAATTTTATTCTTCGCAATAGTTAAATCACTGTTTACTTATTAATTTTGCTTTAATAGCCAATAAATTATGGTTTACAATAATTGTTCAACTCGCGAACTCTTTGGAATCAACAGTAGCTTCTGGTTGTGATGTACGTGTCTTGAATCGCTCATCTTGTTTTGTTGATTTTTTGCGATTAAAGTGTTTCAAATAACTTGTGTTTGGTATTGAATTGGGCACAAGGAAAGGAGATATATAACTGAATAATTAAAACCGTTCAAATCTTGTAAGTTCTGCATAAATCTTGGAAAACATTGTTTAAATATTCAACGAAATTTATATTCGCTATTGAAAGTGTAATAAAAACCCAGGCATTCCGGACTCTCGGTATTTTGTATGTTGGATGTTTTTTGTTTTGTGAATAAAAAAACCGTCTTGTTGGTTTATTTATGTCTGTGTTGATCAGGATTGCGACTCATCACTATGGGAGATGAAAATTTTAAGTGCTGTAAAAAGGATAAACTAACTAGTTATTACTGTGTGGGGTGTAAATTAATATCACACAAAAGTTGCATCGAACGTAGTAAAACTCTAAAATATATTAAAGGCCATAGAATATACTGCAGCCAGAAATGCGCTAAAGGCTCAAATGAATATTCTGAAGAAGATACTGAAGAGTTATTAGAGCTTCAAACGGCAATAAGTGACCTGCGTCTTGAGCTAAGTATTAAAAACGACCACATTGAAAATCTAAATAAATTAAAAACTACCTGTTATGAATCAGCATTGGAAAATGAGCAAAAACTCAAATCCGATATTGACACTTTGAGTAACAAATTGAAGTTTCTGGAAGAAACGAACAATAAATTGAACAAAATTCAAATTAAAAACAATGTGACACACACAGATCAGATTCTTAAATTGGACACAAAAAATAATGACTTAATGGAATGTATCAAAGATCAAAAGGATAAAATATTATTTTATCGAATGATGTACACCACTATAATACCAGAACCAACTGTGATATTTACCAAATTGTAACTAAAACTAATATAGGTCTCAATAATCCAATAGTCCGAGCTTCCAAATCTTATAATAAGGTACCTGGAGGAATTAAAAATGTAAGAAATGTCAATACATTTGTAAAAAAGCTTAAGCAACACTTAGACATAAGGTAAACAAAAACTAAGATTATTTTCTCAAGACCAGTGCTTACAGGCACTGTTTAGAGAAATTGTATTATTGCTATTGTAATGAATGATTTAAGAAATAAACGATTTTCAAAAAAAAAATGCATGTATTAGAAGGTAAAATAAAATTACTGGAAAGTGCTAACAAAAATTTGAAAAATGAAAACTGTGAACTAACGGAATCTCTGGAAAACCAAAATGTAATTATAAAGCGCCTCAAAAGAGGATCTCAAATACTGTCTGATAGTGTCATAGAGCAGGAAAACTATAGATCCGAATTGGAGGAACGACAAAAGGAAATTCAAGTCCTAAATGAAAAGATTGCTGCTTATAAATTACTGTTATTGGAATATGACGAAAATGTAAAATTTAAGGATGAGAATATTGATAAATTAAAGTCTGAATTTGAAGATTTACAGATGGATAGCAGAAACCTAATCTCAACAATCAGAACATTAGAAGCTGACAATAAATGTCTTCGCAATGAGCTTCAAAGCTTCAAGGTTGATTGTGTCGACGTTGACTTCTTATCCTCGGTGAATAAAAAATTAGGTAATGAGCTTCTCATTGCAATGGATAATCACAAAAATGACGGAATTGAATCTGGAGTGGAATTTTTTCGGCATCTAGACTATTCGCTGGAAGGTGTTTCGCCTGAGAAAACTAAAATTGGAGCAGTCAAATATGACGCAACCACTGTGAGGGCCAACCACAAACTATTCTACCCTCTACCATTAAAAGAAGTTTTGATTTATGGGGATTATTCTGCTACTAATTGCTCCATTTCTTTGAATAAACTTTTAAATAAACAAGAATTTTTGGTGGAAGGATGGGTAAAATCAAAAGGAACTTTTAGTGCCATTTCAAGGTCTGTGTTTGACCATACAAGGAAATACGGAGAAAAAGATTATGTTGTTGTAATGCTTGATTTAAATAACTTATCTAGTGTAAGGAAACGGGATTTAGAGATCATATTGGCACTAGGCAAATTTACAAATCTTGTTTTGTGTATAAAATATGATGTTAGGGTCTCTGTTGTGTATGACCGAGTTTTGAATTGTATTGACAAATTTAATTTGGCCAATAATATATCTATTAAAGTTTTTGAAAATGTTAAAAATAAAAAAAATCTATTGGTTCACAAGGCAGAAATTGTGTGCTTCCATCGCTAATTATATTTTATCTAAGAAGTCTCAAAATAAAATTGTTTTGAAAACAATCCCAATTCACGATAGTTTGACAGATTTTAAAAAAAGTAGCGATTTTCATGGAGAGCATGCGGAAAATTTTTTAACTAAGGAAAATTGTGCTACTACGTCATGTTCTAACCATGTCAGTATAAACGCTGATGCTAATGTATCAAGTCCATTTATTGTTTTCTAGAGTCCATCCCCATTTAGATGGTCATGGAAGTTCTACCATAGTTGGCACAAATTACCCTTTTTGAAAAAAACATCGCTTGATATGCTGTTTCAACGCATTTATTGTTGGGGGTAAATCGAGGGGTAAATTCTCAACGATTCGGTTTTTTTGAGCATAAAGGTGCATTTGACAAACGTCAATATCGTTGGTTTCAGAATGTTCGTACATAATGATACCGAATTTTTAAATTGAATTGTTCTGATGGAAGTTCTATTGGATGCAGCACTAAACCAATGAACGTAGGTGTAAGGTTTTTCATTAATTTTACTAGCAACTTTCATCAAGAAGGATACCTTAGAATCCTACCAGTGCCAAACTCAATCCATACGTAGTCAGGGACCTAAGGTATATTTCTTGTATGGAAGATGGAAGTTGTTAATAAACATAAAATTAATGAAAAAAGTCTGGCTCTATCTTTTATTCACTCATTGACCGGTTGCGATACCACCTCTTCTTTTTTTGGAAAAGAAAAAAAGAAGTTCTGAGAAGCTTGAGAAACTTCTGCGGAGGTTACACCTACGTTTATTGACTTAGTGCTACATCCAATAGAACTTACATCGGAACAACTTAATATTATTTCAAAATTCGTTACATAGTGTACGATAAACATTCTGAATGCAACGATATTGACGTTTGTCGAATGCAACTTTTTGCTCAAAATAACCGAACCGTTGAGAATTTACCTACCCTCAACAATAGATTACTAAAAAAGAAGTATGGAATTTCACACATCTGTCACACAAAAATTTGAGGATATTCCCACAAAATATTTTGTAAAACCTCATATCAAGCGATGTATTGTCACAGATCACCTAATACAGATGCGTGAGTATGTATACTTGCCGTCGACGATATTCTGTGACGAAGCCGGGCTGCCAGCACCCCCACGCATAGATAAAGATCGCCCGCATCAGTACAATTAACGTGGCCGAGTGCGTGAGCATGTTCCAGCCTGTGTGTTTACATATTTTTGCGGGTAGAAAAAAATATTTTTTTGCTGTTTGTGAACCAATTAAAGAAATAATATTATATTATTGAGCTTCCGCATTTATATAATAAATATGTTCAAGATACATTGATGTGGCATTGGTGCAGCCAGCCTATGTCTATCAAATTAATCTTGAACCACGAATTCGCCGCTCTTTCGCATCTGTATGTAGGTAATCTGTGGTATTGTTCAAGCAGGATTTTTTTGGGGTAATCTGTGCCAATCATGGTAGAACTTCCATGCCCATCTAAATGGGGATGGACTCTTGAAAACAATAAATGGACGTCACTATGAAACACTAGGAAAAATGAAAAAATATCATCCGACATTTCATTAAAACGTAAATGCAAAACTTGTGGCCCAAAATGCAAATGCTTTTTGAAAAATTTAAAATGCATTAGGCTGTGCTTGAATGCAGAATATTGCAATTTAAGGTGTAAACACGTAAGAGGTTACACTAGCTTTTCTGTGAAGACGTTTTGAGTTGTTAAAATTGCTAAAAAATTTACTTATACTGTATTTTTTCCCAAGATAGATTAAGACACTGTCAACTTTGAAACATAAACAATGCCGCTTATTAGTCGCAATATGTCATTCGTATGACATGCATTGTAAAACTGTATCTCCATCTTGGGAAAAAATACACTTTAGGTATTTACTTTCATTATCTTCTAATACGCTCCTGATTTTTTCAAAATAATGTTTACCTGCATATAAATACAATAATAGTTATTTATGTATCAAGGGTACTAAGTAGATGATTATGCCCTGGGGCCTTATTCTGTAAGGAACAACCGTTCGATTCGGTAGAATTTCTTCGATTGTGACGTCATTTTCGGTTTAGTTTTCGCTCGTTATCGCGCTACCAAACCGAAAATGACGTCACAATCGAAAAAATTTTACCGAATCGAACGCTTCGTTCCTTACAGAATAAGGCCCCTGAGGGCGACAGTCTTACAAAGCCGAGGGCCTCTGGCCCGAGGGTTCGTAAGTCGCCCTAGGGTATATATATATCTATTAGTACCCGTGGTGCATACAAACTTTTATGTCATACCAGTTGGTTGTGAATAATAAATACCTGGGAAAAAAGTGTCACTTCGCAAATTGTCATCAGTGTGCAAACATTATCATTTTTTGACAAAAATAATATATTTTTAAGCGTAAATTTATATTTTGTTAATAAAGAATAAGTTAATTGAAAACTGTTTTTTGCGTCTTTATGCCCGCGCGGGCCATAATGTGTACTTTATGCCCGCACGGGCATAAAGTAATAATTTTTTTTTTTTTTTTTTTTACGGATATGCGCACTCGCAAGGAAATGTCCTATCACGCTCGAGAAGCGGCATATGTAGATGGTATCTAAGGTATAAAAACACAATAATGTATTGGTATGACATAAAATAAATAAATTAGTTTGAAAGGATATAGGTAACCAAAAATATTTATTTTTAATAATTCCTCTTACTCCACTACTTTTTCGTACGCCAATGGTGGCTTTATTTTGAAAGATACGAAAAAAAATTATATAGCAATTAATAGAGAAAACTTTATTCTCAATTTTTTGTATCCTCTATTTTTTGTTTGTTTTCAAGCGGTTTAAATGATATTGATCAACGCGCGTCTTTGTGATTACCCCCCACCACATTTTTGTTCACGTGGGGCCTTACCGTGAAAACATAAACAAAAATAAAGTCATAGTCATTATGCAGAATTTTGTGCTCTATCGAATGGCACCAAAATGACGTTTCTATCTTTTACCGTTTTTGAAAAAAATCATAAAAACTAAAACAATCCACTTATCAAGTTTGAGGGGGTGGAGGGGGGGTCGGCATGAATTTTTGAGATGGGTCCGTTCAAAAATCTACTAATTCTGACATGTTCTTTCACTTATGGAAAGGATTTGCTTTTACTCAAAAACCGAAGTATCAAGCTATTTTCCGGCGACAAGTCACTATACTATAATGCCCCAGTAAATATTCATGGAATTTTTAGATTAGGTTTTATGGCTTGACTTTTGATTTTTCAAATACTAATGTGAATTTTGTTCTTGATTTAAAGATATTTTTGTATTTGAATTATAAGTTTCGATTTATTTGTTGTAAGTGCTTTTTTTTATACCTACATATTTTTTGTTCTCTATTTTTTATTTTTTAGTATTAAGAATGGCTTTGTCTACAACAATTGTTTTTATGACAATAAAGCATATTTTGATTTGATTTGATTTGATTTGAATATTCCGGGAATAGCTTCCACATCGGTACAACTCGCCAGTATCCTTGGTATCAGATCTTCCTCATTACGAACAGGTGTTTCGTAGACTAAACTTTTCAGTCAATGATCCGACGGTGTAATCTTTGCATTGGAGTAAATGGTCAACACTTTGAACAATTATTGTAAACCATAATTTATTTGATAATAAAGCAAAATTAATAAGTAAACAGTGCTTTAATTATTGCGAAGAATAAAAGTATCAAACAGTTTTTTTGCTCTACAGCCCAAATGGCTCATTTGCGGACATAATATGTTTATATAAACAAAAATGCTTGTTTTGATGTCCCCTACTACCCCTTAAAGTTTGTCGGTATCTTTTTGGGACACCCTGTATATTGTACTCCTTGGTATCAGATAATTTGGTTTGTTCAGTTATAGTTGCAATTGTTACTGAATCTCTGTTTGAGAGTCCACATTTGTGCAGTGGCACCCTCGTCTTCGGGACTAATGACATTACAACTGCGACCTCTAGCGGCAATCCTACAACGTTGAAAATAATTTCCAGCAATTCCTTTTGGCTCCTTTCACCAATAATTTTTTTTCCCCAGAGTTCTAGTGATATTAATTTTCTGGGATATAGAGGTAACCCCTTCGGTGGAACACGCGGTACATGCGATGATCTTCAATTCAACATAAACCGATTTAAGTGGCATCTTGAATTTCCTGCAAGTTTTGTTTATCTCCATTTAAGCACAACATTTCACAAGCCATAAAAACTAATCTATTGAGATGGCTACGGATAAATCCCAAGACGGACTCAACTTGCCATTAGATAAAACGACACTTTTGAATGCAAAAACAATTTTGTTGTAGTTTGGTATAAGTTTTATGGCAAATTAATTTTTCGTGATTTCTTTTCGCATATTATGTTTCCTATTGCTCTGGTTTTCACCTATTTCTATTTCTGTAATGTTGTAATTAAAAACTTTCTTAAGGAAATATAAATTCAAATAAACTTTTAATGTCTGTTTATCCACGTTAATCTAATAAGTTTATTAGGTTTTAAAATTATCCACACGATTTTAGCATTTACAGCCCCAATTAGTCTATTAAAATGGCGTTAATTGTTTTTGTCACGTAATAAGAAAAACTACAGTTAAATGGGTAATTTTCTAATTTGACCGTGTTTGAAAATCACAATTCAATTATTTTTTAATTAAATAATCAAATATGCAGTAGGTTTATACAAATCGCAATTGCGAATACAAAAGGTAATGAGGGGGAGGCATCAAAATAATTATTTAAAAATGGAATATACAACTATTA